AGCGGTTTCCCTTGAGCAGAATCTCCATCACACAGCTCAGTAGCAGTGATTGAAGCCTTGGCCACAGCTTTGTAGAACAAGGGTGTCATGGGAGAACATGGAGCAGCTAAAATACAGACCGGCCTCGTCAGGGCTTGTGAAAGGCGACGCCCCGACTGAGCAGAGAAGGCTCGCTTCACGGGACCTCGCTGGTTGCCCAGAGGCCGCTAGCCACACAAGGTGCCTCTGCCAGCCCTCTGCTCTGCAGCACGTACCTGGCGGATGTTCACATTAATTCACCAGAGTCAGAGACAAGGAGAAGTGGAGTCCGTAGGACGTGTGTTCCTGGATCACAGATGAAGCCAGCGATGTTCTCCGTGGCTTGAGCCCCGGTACCTGCCGAGGCCCAGAGCTTCAGACAGAGGCCCAGGGGCCCAGGGCCCAGGTCTGCGCTCCTCCCCTGCTGTCTCATCCCACCACCCCGTCGGCCACGCTCTTTGCCTGGGCTGCCCCTGCCCTGCCCTCCGCAGGAGCTGCCTCTGGCCTGTTGTTCCTGGGCACGGATGCCCCGTGAGCAGCCCCCAGCCCTGCCCCTGCTCACGCCAAAGTCTGAGCCATGGGCCACCGCAGAATGGTAACAAGTACAGCCTGTCACCTGCCACTGTGCCCCCTGTGGCTGTCTGAGCCCCACCTGCCCTACAGCGGGTTCTGGCCTTGTCTCTGCGCTCCGCCCGTGAGGCAGCGAGGTCACCCGCAGAACCGCATCTGGGGGGTCTCCTACCCGCCAGCACCAACAGGGCCTCCTGGGCTCGTCGCGGCTTTGCAGACAACAGCATCTGCCGCCTCCCAACTTCCCAGCCCCGGACCTGCAGAGACCAGGGAAACAGCTTTCCTGGTCTCCCGTGGCACCCACAGCCCATGGGAGGGGAGCGCTTCCCTCCTTTTCTGATTCTAGCCTGAAGCTAATGGGTTTCCTCCTGACGAGGATGGGGGCTGTCATCCTTGAAGGGTCCACACACAGGGCGTTGAATTACTCGCTTTAAGTAACTAACAGTCTGAGGAACGTAACGAGGCCTCCGCTGGTATTTTCTTCCTAGAGTGGCCATCAGGGCGGTGCCCACCTCTGACATGTATGGACTGCTTTCCCGGGTCACAGCAGCTTGGCCTGCGCTGTTGACCTTGACACTGGGTGACCTCTGTAGTGGCCTGGCCCGAGGCCACCCTCTGAGCCCCCACAGCCCAGGGTCCACGGCAGCTCGAGCATCTCTGCTCCAGGCCCAGAGCAGACAGGTCAGCGGGACTCTCCCAGCAAGGAGCAGCCAGAGTGCCAGCTGCCGTACGCTGCTCACCCCCACATGCCCGACTGCCAGGCGCAGCCAGGCCCCCGGTGCTGGATTTTCCAGATCCTTGATAAAAGAGCATCTCACTCCCTGTGTGCCCTCAGCCGATGAGGGAACATGAGCGCCACTCGTTGGTCATGTCTTTTGGGAGCAGGTGCCCGAGCTGGGCCAGAGGACTGAGTGACCCCGAAGGTCGGAAGTTGGGCCGGGAGACTAAGGGTCTGTGCTCCTCCCGGCCAGGTGAACCAAGGGTCCGAGTCCAGCGGGTCTGATGGGGGCCTCTCCTCAGACGTCATGTGTGGCTGCCCTGCAGGCACAGGCCACGTGCCCCAGGCTGTGGAGCTTCAGACTGTGGCCCAGGAGCTCAAGCCAGTCGGAGGGCAAGGAAAGCGCCCACCTGTTCAGTGGCTCCGGTCTGCCCAGCCGCAGCTGTTCCGGGCCTCCAGGGCATCCGAGCTGCCGCCAGACCACAGGCACAGGGCTGTGTCCACTCAGACTTGGTGGCCATGGATAGTGGCGGTGGCCCTGAGCTCTGGTCCTCCCTGTGTGGAGCTCCCCATCAGGAGGGGCAGGGGGCCCTGCAGCCTTGACATGCATCCCTGCCCTTCTGCCTGCTGAGGGCGCCCTGGGGACGGCGGGCCAGCCTCTGCTCAGCAAAGGGCAAGTGCAGCCCGTGGCTGCCCACTGCTGCCCGCCGCCCAGCGCCTAGCTGTCTCTGCTCAGTGCCAGGCTGATTCCCCGAGCACTCGTGACCGCAGGTGATGTCCTTCCGTCTCATGTGGAAGCTTCCATGTGTGGCTTGTGCAGGGCTCATCTGTGTCATTGGACACACACCAGTAGCCACAGAAGTGAATGTTCCAGAACAGGCAGCTGCAGCCGTGTGGAGGCCATGGTGGGACTCACGCTCTGAGCTCCCACATGGCTGTTTGCTGACCGGCATCCCAAACCATGGGCGGGGCCAGCATGTCAGCACCAACCCCGAGAACCGTCCAATGGTACAGAAACTTACAGGAGCTGTTGCACTGGAATTCCTATGCAGGTGGCTCTCCGTACCGTCCAGAGGCAGGTCAGAGCCAGGCCGGAAAGCCACAGGCGTCCGCACCACTAGGGCGAGCACCTGACGGAGGCGCCCGAGGAACCTGGTGGTATTGCGCCAGTGTTAGCTCCTAGGTGGGGCTGCCCTGTGCCCAGCCTGCTGGACGATGCCATTGCGGGCACATGGCCTCTTGGATGCTGAGGCTGCCCTCATGGTACCCTGGGCATTTGTTTTTTCTGGGGACTCCTCCCCCGCCACACTGAAACGGGACAATGTGTCCCTTGTGCAAGCAGCACAGCTGCTGAAATTCAGCAAGACCCAAGCACAGAGGGCAGAGGCAGGTGGGTCTGCAGGGCACTGTCCTCCCCAGTGGACCAGCAGCACTAGCCGGGGGCTGGGCGTCTCAGCGGTGATCTGGAAACGGGGTGGGGTGGGGGGGAAGGCAGGCACTGCAGAAATGTCACCTGCCCCGCCCGGCAGGGTAAGGAATGTTCCAGTAGGCTCAGGGAGGCAGAGCCAGGGCGCGGACGTCTCTGAGCTGACAGCGTGTCCCCCACCCTTCGCCACTGTCTCCCGCTTCCTGGCACTCAGGCGGGCCCCTGGGCTCTGCTATCTGCATGTCACTTTGATTGGTGTCACTCAAGCTGCGCATTAACATTCTCTTCATCACGTCTGTGCAGAGCGGGTGACAGCTAGAGGAGGCAGGCCCAGCGCTCTGGGAGCACCCGCCCGCGTGAGCTCTGAGTGGAGGGGTCCCCGTGGGTGCCCACAGGGCTGAGCTGTGCCTTTGTGCTTGCAGCAGGGTGGTGGCTCCCGGGTACCCTGTTCCTGCATTTTCTGTCTTCCAAGTGGAGAGGATTTAGAACAAGTAGGCTTTGAGGTACTTTCCCAAAAACTAAAGTGTCTGTAGACAAGCACACTCAGAGCCGGGATCACAGGCATGTCCTCCCGTACAGGGTCCTCTGGGCACCAAACCACGTGGGGTGCAAAATGCACCCAGGCAGAGTGAGGACAAATCCAGTGAGAATCATGTCCAGATAAGACTGGAGCGATCGTCTCTGTACAGAACAAAGTCTGTTCTTTCCTGGTTGAGACAAGAAGGGGAGTTTGAGGCACACGGTGGAGCAGCGCTCCTCGTTACGGATGGGAAGTCCCGGCCTGGAGGGAGTGGCCGGCCAGCACGGGGAATCTCAGCCAGCAGTGTCGGTGCCTTCAGTGTTTTTGCTCTGGAAGTTCCAAGGGAGGCTGGGTGTGTGCCATCTCTGGGCGGGGTGCAGGTGGGCCCTGGGGGGCGGGCTGCGCATCCCTAACATGGGATCCCCCACATGGGTGGCACCGACACCTCCCTCCCCAACCTTGGCCCGCGCCCCGGCGGCCCCAGCTCCTGCTTTTACCCCCCATGAGGTGCCACTGTGCCCACAGCCCCCCGTAATGCAGCCGTGCGATCAGGGCCTGGCTGCAGCCTCATGTGCTGTGGGCTCTGGCTGCCTGCCTGGCCCCCGTCCTCCCTGCACTGTCCAGACTTTCTTCTGCATCCAGAATCATCTCCAGATGGGTACGGGGTGCACCCTGGTGGCCCTGTGTCTCCATCACATGTGCATGTGGCTCCTTGGGTCAGTAGCTGCCCGAGACATCACACGCCCCTCCGGCCGGTGACAGTTCATGATACCCCATTTCTCTCCCAAAGAACTAGAGGTTCAGAAGTCACAGAACACAGAGTAAAAGGGGTTTCACCGCCCATTTCATGATGAAAGGTTCAGAAGGCTGTAAACAACCGCCCGGGGAAGACCCATCACCTGCCACCTGGCTCTGCATGGCTTCACCAGCCCCTGTTCACCCCTCGTCGAATGCACTGAGTCTCAAGATCTGCACACACAGCCCTAAAACTGGGGTTCAGAGTTCATTTAGGTTCGTCTGTTTATTCGAGGAAAAAGTCTACAGTGAAGTGCACCCCTGTGACCCACACCCCATACAGGGAGCCACCAGGAGCCCGGCCCAGCATCCCCGCCTGTCCTCCCCAGGCAGCCAAGTCCCCATCTCTTTCTCCTGCATCAGTTTGGCTCATTCTGTAACCTTCTCTAAGGGGAACCTAGAGTACGTGCCCGTCTAAAGCATCTTTTGCAGTGAGAGTATTTCCCTGAGGGGCAGCTGGCCCTCCACTAGAGTGCCCATGCTTCCCACCTGGGCTCCCAGTGGGAGAGCCAGCTCACGCCCCCACAGCCCCACACGGCTGCCACCCCAGCAGGGCTGGCCCAAGGCAGTTTCACGGAGCCACTGCCCGCTGCACCCACTCCTCCCTGCTTGCCCCCTACCTGGGCAGGTGGGCCTAGGGTCTGCTCTACATTCAGGACCTCTGGCATCAGTGCCCACGGCCCATCCTGGTGGACCTTCCCGGGAGGAACGCACAAAGCCAGGATTGCCCCTGCTGGCCTTGGAGAAGCACGAGGCCATGGCCTGAACTGCTGAGGGCCAGCCCAGGGCATGGTCCCACACTGCTACCACATGCCCGGCTGCAGGCAGAAGCTCCCCTTAGTCACACCCCGCCCTGTTTCAAGGACTGTTTGGGGGGAACTGGGTTTTGTGGGCTTGTTTAGGAAATGCTCGCTGTTAACACAGCCTCTGTGTCCTCTTGGTCGTCATTTCAGGGTGGGAGTCCCAGCTGCTGGAGACGGGATTCCTGGGCATTTTCCTGTGCCCCTTTTGGACCCTCTCTCGGCTGCCCAGGGGGACACCCACATCCCAGATCGTCCTGTGGGGTTTCCGGTGGTTGATCTTCAGAATCATGCTTGGAGCAGTAAGTACAACTTTCACTGTTACATTTGGGGGGAAACTGTGCTAAAAAGGAGCCGCTTGCCTCACTGTCCCTGTCACCTGTCTGCGATGTTCAGTGGCCTGTCTTGAGCACTTGAATTGGCCCCTGGCCCTCTGCTGACCTTTTTCTGTGGGTAAAACCACAACTCCGAGTCCATTTCCCATGGACACTCCTGGAAAGGGCACCTCTCCACCGGCCTTCCTGTGGGTCTGGACGTTTCACATCATTTCGATTCAGTAAGCTCTTTCACAGGTGAGGACACGGACCCCAGAGAGGCCAGCCACACCCCGTTTCTCTGCCTGTCTTCCCTGGACTCCTGGCCATTTGGTTTAGGGAGTGCCTCTCTCGTAAGAGCTGCCGTGTGTCCATGATCCCCGCCCCTGCGGCCCGTGCGCCCTCTGCCTTATCCTCTCCCTGGAGGCCAGGCTTCCTCTCCGCTGTCTTCCACACAGTCTCTGCAGGCACACGGCCCGCGTTTAATTTCACCAACCGGCACCTTTAAATGTCTCGGGAACCTTACCAGACCTGTGAGCTCAGGTAACTGGTCTCTTGGCCTCCACCTGCTGGAGGGTGGCTGCCTTGCAGGCTCCTGCACTTCTCTCTGGTTAGTAAGATCCTAATTCTTATACTAGACTCATGTAAAATGTGACTTCTCTTACGTCAGAAACCTGGCTGTACAACCGTGCCAAGCGTGTTGGCCTTAACTTTCCTTGGAGGTGCCATCGCAAGCTTGCGGAGCACCTGCCTCCTCCTGCCTGGCCCCATGCCACAGCTTCCGGTTTGTCCCAGGCCCCCCGGAGCCCTTTGCACTCCCCCCGGGGCCGCATCCATCTGTCCCGCCACTGGCTCAGGCGGGCTGGTGGCCCTCCCGCGAAGCTGCTGTTTGTCACCGCCCAGTGTGCTAGGTGAGGCCCGTGGGCGCTGTGGCTGCCCCACTGCCTGCGTATTTCTGTTTTCTGTACTGGGCTCCCACAGGCCCTGTGTTCAGTGCTGCCTCACCCTCCCCGCACCCGCCTGGGAGCATGTCTTTGGCCCGCCGTCCCCACATCCTGGCCAGCACCTGCTCTCGCTGCTGTGGGCGGCCACCCACTCCAGGAAGGGACGGCGTGCTGCCGCACGTGCAGGAGTCGTGCAGGAGTCGTGCAGATGTGCACCTTCCCGGCTCCTGGTTCCTCAGCGCCCACTTGTATGCCTCACACTGCTTCCTGGCTAGCCGCAGCTCCGACAGTCTCCGCCAGGCTGCCTGCCCCGTCTGGCTGCAGGGCTGGCACCTGGGGCCCTGGGGGAGGCTGGAGTGCAGAGGGTCAGCCCACAGGAACCAGGCACTGTCTCTGCTCACTGTGCAGGTGGTCTTGCCAGGCTGTGGTCCCTGCCTGTCTGGGACTCACTTTTGTATTCTGTCCTCAGCTGGCTTTAAAAATCGTAAATAAATACGCGGATTGGGCCCTCGGGTCTTCCCTGGGGCCTGTGGCGGGTCCGGTGGAAATGGGAGGCCAAGTCCCAGGGCCGGTGCTCTGGTGGTGGGGCTGCTGGCCTGCTCTGTGCAGGGTAGTGATGCCGAGAGCTGAACAGGCCCCCCGTGCCTGACAGAGTGCGGTGATCCATTAGCACATTCGAAAGCACCTTTCATGGCATTTTGATTGACTGGCAGCATCGGCTGGATGAGAAATCATCAGGTGCTCTACGAGGTATGATTACCTGATCTTGTCTGTGGGGCATGATTAATCTTCCCCGTTGCTGGGAAGCAGAGGTGGGGTTGGCCTGGTCAAGACATGGCGGCAGCAGAGGCTGGCTGCATGGAGTGAGGGAGGCCTGCCAGCCTGGCCAGGACGAGCCGCTGCGGCCGGCGCCCCAGCCTGTCTCCTGCTTGCTCAGCACCGGTGCTGCGGAACCTGCTGGGAGGGCGGCTTGTCTGCGGGCAGTGGCTCTGGTGCCCTGAGAGATGGGGGGTTCTTTTGGAGCTCAGTCTCAGAGGGACCCGGAAGGCGCACAGCCGCTGGTGCCCAGTTAGGGAGAGAGAAGGTGCAGGGCTCCCCACCCTCAGCATTTCTACACGCTTGGCTTGATGCCCTGGAGCGCTGTGTGGGGCCACAGTAGAGGGGCGCCAGGCCACCCTTCTCTCTGGGCACAGCACAGACATGCCTGTTTCCACATCAGACAACAGATGCTGTGGGGAGGGGTCGAGGAGTGAGCCCCCTAGCCGCCTGGTTCTCTGCAGGAGGGTGAGCGTCGGGCAGAGGGGGCACCTTGCTGAGTGGATGGAGTGAAGGGCTTTCCTCCACTGCAAACCCTGCTGGCAGGGGTCTGTGCCCAGAAGGAGCTCGAGGACACACAGTCACTTCTGTCGCAGTCTTGCGAGCATGCCCAGCTCCCGTCTGATGGTGAGGAGCCCTCGGACAGACCCCAGCTGAGGGGCAGTCTTCAGAGGCACTCTGCGGCACTCCCACGTACCCGTCACGAGACGCGGTCCGAGGCTGAGAGCCTGGCTGCCGGGGCCGTGCCTGGCCCTGGCTCGGGGAAGTGGTGCTAGTGGGAGGACTGGGGGCCCCAGAGCTGGTGGCTTAACAGGATTGAATCCGTAATGACGGGTACACAGGAACTCCAAGCTATTTCTGCAGCTTTTTCTGAAGTCTAAGAATTTTTCAAAGTAAGGAGTTATGGAGAAATAGGATGTGCAACTTCATACACGTAAAGTGGGGAGTTAGATGAAATGGCTAACTCCCTCCAAAGACGTGGATGACTCACTGATGGAAGAGGGAAAATCTGAATGTTTTTACAAGTTGAGATCATTAAAGCAAACAAAATCCCTTCCCATTGAGAAAACTCCGGGCCCAGAAGACACCACTGATAAGTTCTGCGAAATAGCAAGAGACTATGCAGACCCGCATACACCCACTCAGAAAACAGAGGAACACTCCCCAGCCCGTTTTTCTGAGGCTAGCGAAGACAAGGACATTTCAAGGAAAAGAAATCTGAGAACAGTATAGGCAGAAAATTCTTAAGTATCTATTAGCAAATGAGTCCCGCAGACATGAGAAGCACAGCGAAGCCCGGATGCCAGATTGCTTGGACACAAGTGCGTCGATGCAGTTCACCGAGGTTCCCCATCAGGGGAGACAGCTGTGAAGTGACGTGACCCTCAGAAAGAGGACACGAAGAAGCATTAGACAACCTTGAACACTTGTTCACAGTCCGCAAAAAAAAATCCTCGGCCACCTAGGAGTGGAAGGGAACTTCTCAGAGTGGCAACAGGCAGATACGTGGACTCCCCACAGCGTCTTCCCTCAAGACGGGGAACCAGCAGGGTGGCCACCTCACCCCGTCTGCCTCTGAACCGAAGAGCCCAGCTTGTGAGGTAGAAGAAACAGAAGCCCTGTGGTGGGGCGAGGGGAGTAGGGCCATGTGTGTTCACAGGTACAAGGATCATCCGTTCCGCAAAGGACCGTAGGGCCCGTCAGAACTAAGCGGTGAAGCGGACCCAATTGTGGGGTTCACGGCCAGTGCCGCAGAAGGTGCTGGAAAATGAAATTTTAAAATGTAGCATTAGTAACGTCCAAAACCGCAAAATACTAGGGAAATTTTGATAGAAATGCACTGCTTGTGCTCTGAAAGACACCAGACCCTGCTGACCAGGAGTGAAGGTCGCGTGGTGGGCAGCCACGCTGGGAGTCGGAAGTCCCAGTGTTGCTCGATTGTCAGTGTCCCCATGTCAGCATGTAGATTCCATCCTGGAGGATTTTATTAGAAATTGGTGAACTGATTCTTAGATTTATATGGAATCTCCAGGGACCAGGACTAGCAGGACAAATTAAGAGTGAAGTGGCAAAATGGTAGGAGCCACATGCTCATCTGAGACTCCCAGAAGACATGGTCCTCAGGGCAGCGTGGTGTCAGCACGAGGTTGGGGTGGGTAGAGTCTGGAAAGAGCCCCACATATCAGCTTGCACCTGCGGTGTCATGGGCCCCCGAGGGGGGCGTGCAGGCGCAGACACCGGCCAGTGAGAGAGAAGTCCTGTCCAGACGCCCTCCAGGGCTGTCAGAATGACTCCCACCATCCCTGACCTCCACCTCTGCCCACACTCAGGTGGCATGGCCTTTACTTCCCTGCACACACTACAGCTCTTCTATATCTTGTACTACAACCTCTATTTTTATTATTGGTTCACATTTTAAGAGTCAAAAACTTAATACTTCAGCTATTACTGAGAAAAATCAAAGTTAGACTCAGTTTCCACCAAGAGTTGCCTGTCTGCTTTGGCTGGAGCCTGGAGCACCGCGGTGCGAGCCAGGCCCCAAGGGCGTCTCGGAACCGGCGCAAAGACTGGCTTCCTGCTCCATACGTGCATGTGACCCGCAAACAACGCGCAGGCCTGGAAAGCGGGGGTGGGCCAGTGAGTCCAGCGTGCAGCCGCCAGTCCCGGCACCTCGGTCAGCAGGGGCTGTGCCGCTCACGGCTCTGTGCTCACACCTGGCTGCAGCCCGGGGGATGCCCTTCCTATGCAGTGGATTGACACAAGGAAAGCACCAGATCTGAAGTGGAGCGAGTACAGGCCCATAGGACTGACGGGGGCTCCCTGAGCCTGAGGTCCTGCCTGAGGGACCACCTGCAGCAGGACAAGGCTCCGGACCGACAAGCTGGACGCCAAGGAGGAAATGGGCGCGTTCCTTCACAAGTGCGGCTTGCCAGCACTGAGAGGAAAGGGAACAGGAAATCTAGTGGGTTCATATCTGTGAAGTGAACTGAATCCGTGGTGAACACCATTCCAGAAAGAAAAGTGCAGGCCCGGGTGGCTTCACCGGCCACCCCCAGCAAACGCTCTCAGAGGGAACGGTGCGATCCGACCCCGGCCCCGGAAGGTGGCGGGGAGGGGACGCTTCTCAGAGCATTCTGTGACCGGTGTGACAGTGTCACCAGCCCCAGCGGGGGCGTTGCATAGCGGGAACAGAGACCACGTCCCGCATGAGCAGCGTGTGGAACCCTTGCACAGCGCTGGCAAAGGGGATCCAGCAATAAAAAGGCTCTGGCACAGGTGGGTCCCACACTCGAACATGTGTTGTGTCGACTGGACTTGATTCACTCCAGTAACAAACCATGATGAGCCGCAGTGTCACCTCCACAGAAGCGCAGTTCAGCTCCCACGCAACACGGCTCCATCGGCCTGGCGGGCACCCATGGTGCCTGGCCGGGGCCGACCTGCGATCTGCGTGTCCTGGGCCTGTGCTCTGCACACGTTTCTCCCGGCCCGTGCCTTTCCTAGTTCCTCAATGGTGGTGTGATGACACAAAATTTTACTATCAATGAGTACAATTCTGCAATATTTTCCTTTGATGGTTAGAGATTTTGTGCCCTGTCCAAGAACTCTTTGCCACCTCCAAGGTAACTGTGCTGTCTTCCAAAAGCTTTGATTCTGGCTTTTAAGTCTGTAGAAAGAATACTTGCCCTGCCCCTTTGCTTTGACTTAGTTGGGCGTCAGCTGTGGGTCCGTTTCTGGGAGGTACCCTTTAATATGCCCTTTCCTCTCAGGCTACCGTTTGGTATGGATGAGGGAGCAATTAAAGTTCATTTTATCTTTCTATGCAGATATTCAATTACATAAAAAATTATTGTCCCTTTTCCACTGACCTCACTCAGTACCTTGGCTGGGTATCAGCTGGCAGGAGACATGTGGGTCTGTCCTCTTCTACTGGTGTGTTTTTCTGGCTCAGATCAATACCACACTTCAGTCTCAAATTAATCTATAAAATCAGAAAGTGTAAGTCCTCCACCTTTGTTCTTCTTTTCAAGATAGTATTTCCATGTATATTTTAGAATCAGCATGCCATTTTCTCCAAACACGCTCGCTGGGAGTTTGCCTTAAATCTGGACCTAATGTTAAGCAAAATAGACGTAGTAACAGGTGCATGTCCCCATGTGCACAGGTCTCTTGAGGTTTGCACAAGCATCGTGCCATCTTAATGATGCTAAAGTGCACATCTTAGACACGCTTTGTCGGATTTAGAACAAGGTACTAAAGGGTTTTCCGTGCAGTTGTAGGCAGTATTTTCAAAATTTTATTTCCTAATGATTTCCTGGTAGCACGAAATACAATTTGTTTTTCACGATAACCTTGCAGCCTTGCTAAACCCACACACTCATCTTAGTGACTACAGAGTCTCTGGGTTTCCTGCAGGCTCAGTCCTGTGAGTGAACAGCGGCTTCTTCCCTTTCTCCCAGGCTTTGCGCCTGTGTTTCTTCATCCTGTCTTATTGCACTCGACTCCCAATTCTGCACTGAAGAGCAGCCGCAAAAATGGACCCTGCCCGGCCCAGTGGCGTCACAGGAATTTCTGGAAAGTGGTGTCTGTGGCCCTCTTACCCCACCCCCAGATGCAGGCACCTGTTCCTGGAAGCCCCACGCCTGGTGCCACCGTGCCCTCACAACAGCCCAAGCAGGGAGATGCCGTCCCTTGGCTCCCGAAGGTATCGCGGCTGATGAGGGCCATAGGGTGCACAGGCAGCCTTGCCTCGGCAGCTCTCACAGGACCTCCAGGATTTGGGCAGGGGTCAAAATATGACCTCAGACACAGCATTAGTGATTTCTCTCCCTGACTGCCTGTTCCAGCCCCAGCAGCTGCAGTGCTGGCTGTGTGTACACTGCACTACGATGGGAGGGCGACATCACGCACACCCTGCGGCGAGGAAGTCAGAAACCAGCCCTACACAGGCAGGGCCACGGGGCCCGGTGGCCCACAGGCAGGCTGGGCCCCTTCATATGTGGGCACAGGTCAGTCTTAAGAGACACCAAACGTGCCCATCCATTCTGACCCAGGCGCCGAACAGGAACCCTAAGCGATAGGGGTCACCACACACCCGCCAGCCCACACAGCATGTGGGGGCCCAGAACAGAGGAGCAGCGCCTTTGATCGAAGCAGAACCTGTGGCCCGGATTGCCAGGCCTGCCTTGCCAACCGCCAGTGGGCGCACGCTTGTGGCTGCAGGGTGCAGGGGGCATGCAGGTTTGCAGGTGGAGGAGGCAGAGGCCGCACAGCGGGCCGAGCTCCCCACCAGCCCCAAGGCCTCATGGGACGGGGGTACGTTGGCATGGGGGAGCAGGGCTCTTTCTCGCGCACAGGCCCTTGGTTTCCCCACTTCCAAGTGGGGTTTTAAGAGTATGTCTCAGACCCAGGAGATTCCAGAGAGGAGCTTGCTGTGTGCCCAGCGCCCCCTTTGGGCTCCTGCCTCCCTCGGGCTCCCTGCAGGCCCGGAGCACACGCGGTGGTTCCAGCACCCGGAATGTTCCAGCATCTTGGCACGCTCCCCTCCAAGCAGACCAGCGGTCGTAGGGACAGCTGCGGGTCATTCGGCTCTCTCTGGCTCTGGCGCCATCACTGGCCTGTCTGTGCCATTTTTTCAGAATTAATTTTGGGCTGAAAGAGGCTCAAAGAAGGCTTTGTTCCTCTGACACTTACTCTGGAAGAAAAAAATCCGTGGAAAATCTGACATCTGCATTGTAGGGAGAAATGAATAGATGGGGAGGAATATAATTATCCTCCGCTCCTGAAACATTTCAGATCCTTAAGTGTCTCATATCAGCTTAGAATTGAATGACATTTTAATTATTTTGTTTTTTCTTCCTTGCCTGGTGTGCGTCTCCGGAGAGCACCGTGCGGCCTCCAGGGAGGCAGGGAGCGCACTTGCTCTCAGGCAGCGCCTTGTGACCCTGGTGTCCGCCCACGGGCAGCATTTTCACCAGGAGTCGGGTCCCACCCCCCCCTCAGCAGGACGTGCAGACCTGGCCGACAGGATGCCCCTGCCTGAAGCACCGCTCCACACGGTGCGGGGCGCGCGCCAGCAGGGGGCTCAGGGCAGGCTTCTGTGAGTAGGTGGCCTCTGCTCTCCAGGTCCATCCCCCGGGCCACGTGGGCCCCCTGGGCCCTGGCGCACAGCTCACTTCCTGCAGGGCACAGGCCGGGGCTGAGCGCTGACGGGGGCCCCTTCGCGCTGGGCTGCAGGGAGCTCTCTGCCCACAGTTGAGTGCTGCCGTCCTTTGAGACGTGCTTGCAAACCGCCTGGGGCACCTCGGGAACACTAGGGCTTTCTGTAGCACCCAAGTGGCGCCCAGCGTTCCGGCCCCACTGCCCTCCCACTGGCCCTCCAGGTGTGGCCGTGCCAGCCTGGCCAGAGCTCAGTCACTCCCCCACTCGCTGGCCCTCAGCCCTCCTGTGGGCTCCGGTGCCAGCTGCCTGACACTGAGCTCTGCGGGATTTCCTGGGCCTCCCAGGGCATGGCCTTCGCCTGGGCCACCCTGCTGTACCCTCCCACCGCTGGGCTCCCCAGCCCCAGCCCCTCCAGGCTGCCTTGGCCTCTCCCACACCCCGCTGGGCCCATCCAGTCAGTCCCTACCAGGTGGGCAGGTGTGTGCGTGGCGGTGGGTGAAGCACCTGACTATAGGTAGTGTGGCCGCCAGGCCCCCGCCGTGGGAACGCTCCGAGCACCCCCCGGCCGGCTCTGTCCATCTGTGTAGTTCTCACCTTCTGATTCTGCTGTTATGTGAAAGGCAGAAATTGGCACTGAAACTGTTTCCGGCCGCGTTCTTGGTGCCGGCAGAGCGGTTTGCTTTTGACTCACGGAGGATTCAGTGGGGCGCCAGTTCCCGGGGAAAGTGGTGCATGGCACCTGACCACACACAGCCTCAGCACTGTGGCCTGTGGGGCACCCCACACACATGTGCCTCCGATGCACCAGCCCTGGCATAGGGTGGCACCAGGCTGTGGGTGGTCATGGTTGAGCTGCGGTCTGGAGGTGTGGCGTCTGTCAAAGCAAACGGGATTGCGAGCAACCCATGCGTGTGGCGTAGCCAGGACGATGCCCTGGGTCTGAGAGCCAGTCCAAGGGTGGGAGGGGTTTCCTCTGACCCAGACGAGCAGCTCACTCCGGTCCTCAGAGAGCCCTGACACGCTTTTCTTGGGCTCTATTTAAACTTCACCTTTTACCTCATCTCAAGCCATGCCCCCCCAAAGTTCGCCCAGCCCTGGGCTCCCAGCTTGCTGCTGCCAGCTCACGGCTCTCTCTCTCTCTCTCTCTCTCTCTCTCTCTCTCTCTCTCTCTCTCTCCCCTGCAGGGCCTAATCAAGATCCGCGGGGACCAGTGCTGGCAGGACCTCACCTGTATGGACTTCCACTATGAGGTGCGCAGGCATGAGTGTGGGTAGCGGGGGCCACCCCTTCCTGCCCACAGTGTTTGCAGCCCACTGTGTGTGACGCCTCTCGCTGGGGCAGGGAGCTCGAGGTGGCGTGTGGTAGATCCCCCTGGCTGGGCAGGCCTAGTGTCCCTGGACACCGTTTATCCCTCCACAAGCCAGGCAGATACCTGACAGGGTCCGTCGCCAGGGCCCTGCTGCCCAGGACAGCAGTAAGCAGGGGAGCCTGGGGCCCCCCGCTACCTCCCAGGAGATCAGGTGGCCTCCCAGTATGGGTGTGGTCAAGGGAGGCTGTGTGCTGAATGCTGGCTGCTGTGTCCTGACCCTCTGGGTGAGCTGGCCAGGCCGCCTGTGGCCAGCACGTTCCATGGCCTGCACGCCTTTTCCAGCCACACCCATTTTACCGGGGCACAGCCATGTGTAGGCGTGCCCAGGCTGTCCCCTGCACACACTGCCAGCACAGCAGGGCATCCCACCTCCGTTCCAGACCCCCAGCCCCGGGGGGGCTCCTCCTTTCAGTGTGACCCCGGGATGTGGTCTGCCCGCTGCTTTCTCCCATGATTGGATGGGGCTCCCTGAGTGCCCTAGATACAGGGGTCCCCTAGCCTGGGGATCATTCGGGCCTGGCTGACACTGCTGTGAAAGCTGACAATGTTGGCCCACAGAAGCGTCGGCAGAGTCATGACTTAACCTGTGTTGTCCACAGGCCACTTGTGCACTGAGGGCCGCAGGGGGTCAGTGCTGGGCCTGGGGAGCACTGGGGCCTGGCCGGTTCAGGTTCAGCCCACGCCCTGGGGTCACCCAGAAGGCAAGCCCATGGAGGTGGGGTGTGCCATTTGCTGAGTCTGCTCTGATACCCAAATGGTCACTCTGCTCTCGTTCGGCATGTGCACAGCACACGTGCGTCCGAGCTTTACCGTCGACACCGCACCTGTCTCCACCTTGAAGTGTGTCTCTCGTAGGCAGTGTGGGCGGGGTCCTGCTTCTGTATCCAGCCTCACAAACTCTACCTTCACGTGTGTGCTCAGATCGCCTGCCTCCAGGGTGGCCCGACCGTCACGGGGCCCCGCTCGCTCTCCCACCTACTCTTTGTGCCGCTTCTCACCGTCTCTTGCCGCTCTGGGCCGAGGGCAGTGTTCTGGGGCTCCTCTCCATCTCCCTTCTGCCTTGTGCTGCCGCAGGGCTGCTGGCACGGATCTGCGGTCCACCCCTGCCTTTTGGGAGGCCGTCACCAAGGGGAGGGCCGGGCAGAGCTGCTCCTCTGCCTCCCTCCCCGGCCACCGGCTGCGGGCGTCGGCCTGCCTGTGCGTGGGCCGTATCCTGCGGGCTAGACGGCCGGCTGTGCCCTAGAGGGATTCCCCTTACGGGAGAGGGAGCCTCCTGTACCCACCCGGAATGTGCCGTCACCGGGCCCCCCGGGCCCCCGGGCGCCCACCTGCCGCCGCTGCCCCCCAGCTCGCCCACTCGCATCACGTTCCTTGCAAACAGGTGGGCAGGGACGGACTCTCTCGGCTACTGGGTCCGAGTCTCTTTCCCCTTCGGTCCCCAGGGAGGTTTGGGGCAGATGTAGAGTTGTGGGTTTTTGTTTCAGGAAGGATGCTGCCGCACTGCCCTTGCTGGGAGCCGGGCTGTCCTCTGGGCCAGCTGGGCCCCCCAGGGAGCTGCTCTCGGCCCTGGCCCTGGGCTGCCCCCCTGGGACGTGCTCTTCTCGCTCCCCACTCCCAGCCGCTCACAGGGGCACGAGCACCCTCAGTGTGGCTCCTGCTCACAAGCAGCACCCACGCGACCTCCCAGGTGCCTGCCGTGTCCTCCTCGGGGGGCCCTCACTCCGACACCCCAGGCCTGTGCTTCCCGGTGCCTGCCGAGGGCCACCGCCTGCACACGTGGGAACACAGTCTGTCGGGTGTGAGCCCCTCCCCTTCCTGCCCAGCTGGGAGCGCCCAGCACACAAACACCCCCAGGCCCCCGGGATACCTCGGTGTACCCAGAAGCACCGCCCCAAAAACCAGACTGAAAAGCCCGCTTTGGGGCGGGATCCAGTGCTGGGCGAAGCCTGCTGTGTCGTGGGCCCCGCAAGGGGGAGGGCTGCGGCCAGGGGGCTTCCCCTGGAACAGGACATGGGTAGGGGGAGGACACGCCCCCTTTCCCACCAAAACCCCAACCTGGGATCTGTGGCCCCAAAGGGGAAAATGACTGAGAAACCATCTCTGTTCTCAGCTGGCTCACAGGGGGTGTGGCCAGCCCGAACTGAAGCTGCCGGGAGCCCCACCCGGCTAAGCCGCCCCATCAGCCGAGCCCTCCCGTCTGGGGCCCGGCGCCTGGGGTGGCCACACACACGCAGCACCCTGCCCAGAGGTGGCTCTGCTGCTGAGGGAGAAGCACCGGGCCTGGCCTTCATGCAGCCGCTCCTGTCGGATGAGAGTATTGCTCCCGCCAGGCCTTCTGTGGCCGTTTCCGCTCAGGCATTAGCTGCCCAGACAGCGAGCAGACCCGCCTCCCCCGCAGCGCTGCCCCCTCGCCTGACCTGGCTGCACATCCATGGCTCCCACGGGCAGGAGCCCCAGGCACAGACCGCAGAGACCTGCCCCCGAGACTGCTCGACACCGGCGAGCGCAGAGCCGTGGGCACAGGCGGTGAGGTGCCCCCAGGGGCCCCCGCACAGCAGCGGCCAGGCCGGCTTCCCAGGGCTCCTCGGGCGAGTGGCTGTGCCGGGGGTGGAGCAGGGAGCATTTCAGTGCAGAAAGCAGGGACATGCTCTGGACGCCGTACGACGAGGCGCAGTAAACGACGGCAGAGAGCTGGGCCCGCTCACTGAAACAGCCCGTGTGTCCGCGCCGCACAGACGCGAACTGGAGGGCTGGTGTTCCTTACCGCAGAGCGCCCCTGGGCAGAATGAAAGATGGAGCCAGACCTCCCCACGCAGCCGCTGCTGCAGCCACGGATTCCGGCGAGAACCGGCGAGGGACGCTGGAGCTGGGAGGTCTCGGCGAGCGGGTTTTTTTCACAGCCTCAGCAGCGAAGGGGCAGCTGTGTAGGGGCCACGGCGGACGCCCCCAGCCAAGAGACCCACCGGGAAACCACCCATGCAGGACGCTCGGCCACCCTGGGCCCCTGGGAAGGGCACCTGCCCCCTCGGCGATCTTCTCACCAGAAGTGCCACAAGGAGCATCAGACCCCCATGGGGGACGCCTCACGGACGAGCCTGTGCCCCTCAAACCCGTGTCCTAATGCTCGGGGCAGGAGATGCGCTAAAGGCCACGTGACGGGACCTGCTTTGGTTAGAAAGACACCGCTCAGGCGCGGGAAGATGGCGGCCCATGGTGGCAGAGCACCTGGGGTCCCAGGCAGTGGCGAGAAGGAGCCACCCCTGGCGTCAGAAACCCTCAGGAGGCAGGCAGGGTGCTTTTCCTTTACTGTTTCTGTGACTTCCCTCACGTCAGTTGTGTCCGAACAAGAAGTTAGCATGAGGACTCTTCCCCAGGTGGGACACAGCCATCCTCTAGCAGCCAGTCCCCCTGAGGCCACCTCCGCCCCTGAGCTGGGGACAGCCAGGCCGTGGGGACTGCTGTTTTCCTGAGTTCCTCCCGCCAGCTCTTGTCCATCCCACCGCCCTGAGCATCCAGGCAGGAGGCCGTGCGTTCATCAGGTTGAAATCCTCAGCTCTTTTCCGAGTATTGGGCATCACCACCCGAGTCCGCTGCAGACCTGGAGAGGAAGCCAGCCCAGGCTAAGGGTCAGAATATCGGCCTGCAGTCAGGCAGGGCTGCGGACACTGCAGGCAGTGCGGGGCCGGGGAGCAGGTCCCCAGGGCCTGGGAGTTGGTCAGGGCCAGGGAGCACTTCCTTCTCTGGCTCTAACCTGTGACAGGTAAAGGTCACTTAGCACCAGAACCATTTCTGCTTTCCAGCACTACCCAAGGCCCACACAGTTGTCACACCCTTGTCCCCTTGTCCCCAGCCTTCCCCTCACAGGGACATCGTCGCACACAGCAGCCTGTGTCCCTGGGGTGCACGTGCCTGGAGAACATAAGTCCTGGGCGGGGCCATGCTTGGCAGCATGGGGAGTGGGGTCCTCAGTGGACCAGGGCCCCCGACCGGGCCAGGTCCCCCGACGTCTCTTCAGAGTCCCAGTTCTCAGGCTGGGGTGGGGTGGGGCTGCGGGGGCCACATACCTGCCCGGGACGCAGCCCTCTGTGCAAGTGGGCAGGTGAGCCCATATGTCCATCTGTGCAGGTGGTGTGGATCTGTGAGGGGGATCTGTGTGGCGATGCCACAACCCTTCGCCAGGCCGCATGTCCAAGCCAGCCCCATGGATGGGAACATACCGCAGCCCACGTGGTGTCCCCACAGCCAGCCCGCTCTGAGTGTGGACAGCCACGAGCCTTCTGTGTGGCCTGCTGCAGCCTCGGCTGCTGCTGGGAACCCGGGGGACAGCCCCAGTGGCCGGAGGCGCGAGGCCTGTCAGCTTGGTCCAGGGCAGCCAGCCCACGGCTGAGTCAATACACAGGCCTCCTGGAATGGGACATGCCGCGCCCGCCCACCCTCACACGTGTGGAGGCCGTTCCCAGGAACACACACGCGGGGCCAGGACCCCGCTCCCCAACTGTCCTCTGAGCGGAAACCCACCACGTGTGAGCCACCGCCTGCACCATGGGCTCCCCCGCCCCAGTGCCTGTACCTTCCCCGGGACTCTGACCGTGGCCTCTCCTGGCGTCTGAGCTCCTGTGCCACAGGGACGGTTGGCGCACCCTGAAGGGGTCATTGTGAGAATTACAGGAAGCCCTCGAGGAGGAGGATGCCAAGACATGGCCCCAGCACCCCATCCCGGCGACTCAAATCATGGCAGCATGTGAGCTGCCTCCCCCCCTGCTCCAGTCGCCTCTGCGTCCTCACTAGTGTTTGCTGGTGTTTCCCGGTGGCCATTCTGGTGGGGAGAGGCAGCCTCTGCGTGTGGTTCCCTGACGGCGGACAGTGCCAGAATGGTCCCCACCAGTGCCTCCTGGGCAGCAGGGGTGGGAAAGCCTGGGAGTGGGGTCCGGGCATGGCTCACGGCCCTTCCCGTCCATAGACGCAGCCGGTGCCCAACCCCATGGCCTACTTCTTGCACCACTGCCCATGGTGGGTGCATCGCTTTGAGACGCTCAGCAACCACATCCTGGAGCTCCTGGTGCCCTTCCTCATTTTCCTCGGGCGGCGGATGCGCATCCTGCATGGAGCCTTGCAGCTCCTGTTCCAGGTGAGCCCACAGCCACGTGCCCACGACCCTGTCCCCGGGGGCATAGGCTTCTGCCTGGCCAGGGCCAGGTCTAGCCTCCCGCGGGCACACTCCTCCAAGCGGGGCTGGGGCAGCATGTCGAGTGCTCAGCCTGCTGCTCTGCCACCCACCTGCCACAAGCTTCCCGACTCTGGTCTCCACAAAACCAGGCTGCATGCTCGGGGGGAAATGAGCAACTGCTTGTCCATTCCCAAGAAAAGCACTGCTGGGGTTCAGACATCTGCGTAATGTGTTTACCAAGATGCACAGAGCTTAGAAGTCCGGATGGATGTGCCCCAGGACACCCCACACCCTGTCCAGATGGAGAGGCCCCTCTCTGGTCGGTCCCCTACACTCTGGGCAGGTTCTGGCTGCTCCAGGCCCACTGTGGCCAGAGCAGAGAGATCAGCAGCGGCACGAGTCATCTGTGGGGCTGGTGCAGGCCAGCCGTGCCCCTTGATTACTGTGTGTCCCAAGGGGCGAGTGCCCTCCCGCCGGCCTATCCACCCCCCGTCGAAGGGCGTTTGCAGCACACCTGCTGTCGCCCTTGCTAACGGCTTCTGTGGACATGCTTTCACGGGGGGCGTCTGCCCTTGTAGGGCTCCAGTCGCCTCTGCGTCCTCACTAGTGTTTGCTGGTGTTTCCCGGTGGCCATTCTGGTGGGGAGAGGAAGCCTCTGCGTGTGGTTCCCTGACGGCGGACAGTGTCAGGCCTGGGAGCGAGCCAGTGTCTCTGGAGATTTGTCCCTCCAGTGGTTTGCGCCCCTTTAGTGCCTTCAGCAGACGTGATACCCACATGCCCATGTTTCATGGCCCCTTGGCCGGCCACATGAGTTCCTAGGAGCTGTGTCTCTGTGGGCGACACTGTAAATGGGGTTTCTTCTTTGTGTTAACTGGAATGCCTCCTTGCGGCCCTCTCGTGGCCATTGCTGCTGTGCACTGGCCAGTCTGCCCGTCTGTCTGCAGACCCCACGTGAGCGGCGGTCCTCCCCACTGCCGGGCCTGTGAGCGATGCAGCAGGTGGCTGGAGGGCCCCGACTTCAGGGAGGTGCTTGCAGTGCCTGAAGCCTCACGGTGCTGGCTGTGGGTTGTCTGCTTTTTGCAGCCACATTTATTAGGTTCTCTTCTTTGGTTTACTGGGAAGTTTTGTGTTTTCCTTTGGGTGTTTTCAGTCACAAATAGATGTCAAAGTTTGGCAAACGTTTTTCTCCCCAGTTGTGAGATTGCGCTTTTTCTTAATTCGGTGACTTGCATGAGCACTGCTGATGCCAACCCCCTTTTACATTCCTACGATGAACCCAGCCACGCTGTGTTTTCTAGCCCGGGTCTGGGTATGACCTGCTAGTTTGGTCTGCACCATGCGTGGTCGCCATGAGATGTGTCTGCCGTGTCCGTCCTGCCTGGCCCTGCCTGGTCCTGCTTGGGCCGTGCCATCCCCCTCAGCACATCGGGGTCAGCCCCCATCTCTGGAGGAGGTCAGAGTTCAGAGGCGGTGCTCCCGTGCCTGACACCCGCCTTGAGAGGCTTTGGTAACAGACTCAGCGCCTTCTGTGGCTGCTGGATGTCCAGGTTTCCCTTTCTTCTGGGGGCAGTTTTAGTAGCAAACATTTTCCTGGGAATTTGTTCATCTGTTTTCAAATTTATTGGCCAAAATAAAGGCATGCTCTTCTCTTGTGTTCGCAGAGCCTGGGTGGGGACCTTCTCTTCCCGGCCTGTGCTCTTGCGACAGCGGAGAGCACGGTCTCCCCCAGACTGGGGTGACACCTCTCCCTTCTAAGTACCAGAGCGCAATCTCAGCTGGAAAAGGCGGATGTATTTCCGCATCTTTGTGTTTTCTTCTTGTCCTTTTAGTTCTGAGGTTCCCCCCGTTGTTCCCCTCTCCCGATTGGAAGAGGATGTGGTCTGCTCTCACCCGACGCCTGCTCAGCCGACCAGCTGGGCACTGAGGGTGGCCCATCTTTGCCACCACGGTGGGCAGAGGCCTTCCCACGCTCCCCACCACCATCCCACACCCGCCCTCGCCACCCCTATTTTCGCTCTATTTTGTTTTTAATTAACAGACTTTTTTAGACTAGTTTTAGAGAAAAACTGAGCAGAAAGTAAAGAGGGTTCCCACATACTCCCCTACACACCCTCATATGCACAAACACACATGCACATACACATGTGCACACTACACATACATGCATACATATGTGCACACACCACACACATACATGCAACCCACACGCACAAATGTGCACGCACATACATATGTGCACATGCATGCACATGCACACATACACATGCACACATATACATGCACACATGCACACATGCAGTTTCACCATCATGAACTTCTTGCATTAGTAATGCATTTATTGCAACCGATGAGCCAATGTTGACAGTTTATTATTAACAAAGCCCACAGTTTACATTAGGTGTCGCACATTGTGTGGGTTTGGACAAACGTACCATGGCACACACCCACCACTAGTGTCACGTAGAGCAGTCCCAGTGCCCTAAAAACCCTCTGTGCCTGCAGTTCACCCCCTGCTCCCTGCTAGCCGCTCAGCCTTCACAGTCCCCATGGCTGTGCCTTTTCCAGGTCATGGAGTGGGGTCCTCCAGGTGTGGCCTTGCAGACCGGCTCCCTCACTTAGTCCTGGGCATTTGGGGTTCCTCTTGTCTTTTCATTGCTAGTCCAATGACATTCCATCATCTGGACACCACAGTTGATCTAGAAAGTGTCTGGACTTGGCTAGAGGGCAGAACCTTGGCTGGCCAATGACCCCTGCCCCCACAGCCCCCGCTGGGAGACACCCCCAGGGGGCATGGGCACTCTGCACCTGGCCTGCCCCACTCACACTTCAGCCCAGTGGCCCGTGGTCTCAAGCTATGAGACGGCTCTGGACAGAGGCTTGAACACCCTTGCTAGTGTCCACCAGTGTGGGCACCAACCCACGCTGGGCCTTCTTCCAGCTCCGAGGATGCCCCGCTGGGGGCCGCTACCTTACCCTCCCAGTGGAGCACGTGGGCCCCGTTCGCAAGGCAGCCCAGAGGATCCCATATGGCACACAGCCCCAGCAGGACTATGGCTCTCCTCGGACTTCGTGGCACTACCTCGGGGCCACAGGCCACTCGTCAGCTGCTGCTTCAGCTGCTTTTACAGACCTCAGGCCCCTGGGCCCTGTCACAGCTGCAGATTTGACCGGGCCTGTGGGGATCCTTCTGGCTGCACTGGCCACCTTCCGCCTATTCTTCCTCCAAAGAATCCGGAGGCCAGCTTCGACGAGTACTCACGAAGAGTGAATTGTCACGGTACTTGAAGGAAGGTGGAGCTGCTAGTGCGGGTGGGGAGGGTTCAGCGCCTTGAACGCTGGGTCTGGGGTGACAGCCACTCCAGCTATTGAAGCAGCAGCTTTGAAATGCCTTGTTTATTCACGGAGCACTTGGCACAAGCCTCGTGGGCTCCTGAGTGAGGACTAGCGAACAGCTCGCCTGGCAATGGCCCAGGGCACCAGCACCTCCCCTGCAGAGGCGACACAGACGTAGGGGCTCAGGGCTCAGGACTCGGTGGCCCCTAACGGCTCCAGCCACCCAACGGGTCCTAACCGTGCAGGCTGTGGAGGCGGTGGTGGTGCAGGGACACTGAGCAGGGGGGCCAGAGCTGGGCCACAAAGGGCCTTGCCACCAGCCCGTGGTTCCGGGTGTCCTGGAAGACCAGCCCACACCCTCGCCATCTGACCCCGGCCCGGGTGTGTCCTTGGGAGGTGGGGGGACCCAGCGCTGTGGCTCTTCCTGAGGCTGGTCTGCTGCATCTTCTGGGGCCGGGGCCAGCACAAGAGGACACGCGGCCTGCCAGTCCAGCTGCCATGCGTGCAGCCCCCATGCAGGCAGCGTGGGCTCCCAGGCATGGAGGCCGAGGGGCCGCAGCACCAGCCAAGCCTGCCAGCCACCTTGGGGAGTGACCTGGTGTGGGGACAGCCCCTGGGGCTGCGGCTTGTCCTGACAGGGCCGCGCTTCACCTCTGTTCCTGCAGCCCCAGGGGACATCTCTAGTTCTGTTTGTTCCAGTCACTCCTTCGGGAGAGGGTTAAGGATGTGAACACACTCATCTCCTCCCACACTCAGTTTACACAGCTGTTCCGGAAGGTTCTTCAAGGCCATGGGTCCATTGTCCACTTGGAGAGGTACACGTGGAAGTGACAGGAGAGCCACGCCCCAGCCTGGGACCCCCACCCAGATGTGGCCTGAGGGAGGGCCCTGGGTAGCGACTGCCACTTCTGCCCAGGGGCCAGCCAGACACCCCATTCTGGTGTGGGAGCAGGTTGGCACGGGGCCCCATCTGCTGCCCGGTCCTGCTCCTTCTGGCCTCCGTGTCGTTGGCTGAGGTCAGGGCCATGTCACCGTGGGGACCATCACCAGGGCCATAGGTGCAGAGAGCTGTCCCCCCGCCCTACGCAGCTTCCCAGAGCAGGGGTCCCAGGATGAGTGGCCCCGCCCCAGGCTCCCACGGCAGGAAGTCCCCCACCAGGCTGGACATGAGAGCCCAGCAGGGGCGTCCAGAGCCCACCCTGGAGCAGGCATGTGGCCCCTCCCAGGTCTCACAGCACATCCTGCTGCCCAGGGCGCAGCACAGGGGCCGCAGACCCCAGGTCGGGCCCCCGTGGCCTGCACGGTGCACCGGGGTGTGGTTCAGTCTCTGCCCCTGGAGTAAACACAAAGGGACCACGTGTTCGACTCATTTCACTCTGAGAAGAGGCCACAGGAATGCTAAGAAAGACAAGATCCCCTAGTGCGCTGGGGTTATGTGCTCAACGTCAAATTCCATTTTTCTTATTAAGAAAATAGCCATCCAGATGACTGGTGGGAGGCCAGGAGAGGGGCTGGGCCTCTGAGTGGGCGTCTCTGAGTCCTCAGGGCTCCCACTGCGTCACTAGAAACAGAGTTTTGTCCCCAAAGCTCTGCTCTGTTGAACCCCAGTCCCCCTGGCAGGCCCCCAGTCGGGCTCATCTGGCCTGGTGGGGGGCAGGGCCTTGGAAGTATGCCTGTGACAGGCCCCACCCACGTCCACTGAGGCAGAAACCCAGGGAACAGGCGCCACTCAGAAGTCACTTTGGGCCGCGTGGCCAGTGGCGGCCTTTCGGCTGTGCTCGCGGCTCTCACACAGGTGGAGATGTTGCCCCGAGCATCCTGGAACCTTCTGCTGGTGGGCATGTGGACTGGCCCCACCGCCACCTGCTGCAGAGGGCATGACCCTCACGCGGCCAGAGCGGCCACAGAGCCTCGGGGCCCAGAGAGTCCTCATGGGCTTTTCTGTTTTAAAAGACAAGTCTGCGATTTGGGAAAGAAAAGAGGGAAGGACAGGGCGCCCTGCGCCTGGCCCCGCGTTGCTCAGACAGTTTCACTCGCTGTTACTATCTCTGAGTGCTTCACTCCGCAACCACAGCCCCTGGACGTGCATATCTGTTAGACTGTTGGTGACCCTAAAGGGGTGGGAAAGGTGTCTTGAAGGTTCACTGCTCATCTGCGGACATTTCTGACCTTCTGCACTGCCGCCCGGACCTGGTCCTTGCCCTCTGTCGTGGAGCCTCGGGGAGGCGGCAGTGTCCCTGCACCCACGGGGCCCAGCCTGGCAGCTCCCAGCGGGAATGATGCCGCGTCCGCAGCGGGGCCAGCAGGACCCGGCCCAGCCTTCTTTGAGTGGCCCCCACCTCCCGGTCCTTCTCTCTCCATCCCAGTCTTCTGTGGGTGACTCTCCCCAGATCTCCCTCTGTCCTGGTGGTCAGCGGGCTGACTGGGTGGGCCTTCTGGGCTATTCTTTGTGCTTGTCTCGCAGTGATGCCTTCTCTATTCTGAAGATTTGTTTTTCACCAGATCAGAGCTTTGGGACATGACCCCTGCCACCACCCTGCCCCTCAGGAACTTGAGTCCCGGGGCATCAGAGCAGCACCCGGTGCCCGCCGTCCCCCAGGGGCTGCTGGGGCAGCTTCGTCCCACCTGTTGCTCACATTCCCTGGCCTTCCTCCGCCGGGCCAGTCTGCAGCCCACCCAGTAAACGCTCCGCCTCATCTAGTGCCTTCTGAGGTCTCAGACTGAGCACCTTGTCCTCTGAGTCTCCCAGCTCACTGGCAGTGGCCATCCAGCATTCCTCCCTGACTGGCCTCAGACTGTGCCCCTCCTCCGCCCCGTCCCAGGAGCCTGTTTCTGTCTCTGAGCTACAGCTCAGACATCCTGCTGACTCGTGTACCCATCAGGTCTGGACTGGGTGCCGGCCACCGCAATGTGCTGTTGGGTGCCTGGGTGTTGATTCTCTCCTGACAGGCGGTTCATCTATTTGCAAATCAGTTTCGTCATCCTGACACTTGTTTTCAAGCCCTTCTGGCAGGTCCAAAACTTCTGGTGGGGCTTGGTTAGCCCATGTGTAGGGCCGGGCAGCGCCGGCTTCCCACCAGTCTCTCCTGCCCGAGTTTGTCAGAACATGAGAGTCTCCCAGACCCGCTTGAGGTAGGCCTTGCTCAGCTGTCGCGGCACGCTGCCTGGACTCGGGGGGCTCCCGTGCCTGCATGGTGGGCGCTGGCCGGCTTTGAGCTCTGCCTCCCTGGGGTCGGGCCCCGCAGTGCTCACAGCCATGTGGGCGGGCAGGTGCCTGTCTGTTCTGTCACACACCCAGCTGCGGGGTTGACCAGTACCACCCCCTGCACCCAGCCCGAAGCGGCCATTGTCACTGGGCTTCGACCTTGGAAGCCCAGGCAGCCCAGGCTGGTGTGGACATGGGCCGGGGCTCACCCTGCTGCTGGGGGTGAAGGGGGTGTCGGGGCCTGCCAGCTCACTGGGTGGCCTTGGGAAGCGGAGGGGCTCTGCTCAGTGGAAGCGCTCCCCTGGAGTGTGGCCGGAAACTCTCAGGCAGGCAGGGACGTGCAAGGACCTGAAGGGCACCTGGCCGGGCCATCTCTGGGGCTGTTCTCTCGGTCCTTGTCCTCCGTGGGGCCACACTGTGCGGGCCTTTTCCCTCCGGGAGCCAGGCTGAGGCTGCACCTGGACGTCCTTTCAGGCACTCCTGTTGCTATCCCGTCCTATGCAGATGGACTGGACAGCCTGAGGGCTGGGCAGGGGCCTCACTGTCTGGGTACATAAGCTAAGGCCGACCCCACAAGGAGGGGAGGCTCCAGGTCAGTCGGGAGCATGTGGGGACCCTGACTGGGCCACAGGTGGTGCCACAGTCCCAGTGACAGCTGCCCTGTCCGGGAAACCAGGCCCTGGGGACCAGCACAGGCCGAGGTGCTGGCAGGACAGACCGCTGGCCTAGGGCTTCGGTGGCGTCACAGACAGTGACGAGTAAGAAGCATTGGTGTCGGGCCGAGGACCAGGGAAACCAGCTTTCTAAGCTAACAGAGGGGGAGCCATGAGTCCCCAGTGTCGCGTCACACTCCGTGCGAGTCCATCGTGACCCACAAACGGGCAGGTCCATCGGAGCCCAGCTCCTCCTGTCAGGCCCTCGCTAGGCTGGCCCCCGCGACCTTGAGCTCTGTGACCCACAGCCCAGCTCTAGCGCGAGTCAGACGCTAAGGGGCTGGGGCGTCCACGGTGGAGGCGAGGCAGACCTGTGACTCCGGCCCCCCCTTGGGGGGGTGACACAGCCCGCAGCCATGGTGCCTGTGCAAGGCCACTGTGGGACCGGCCAGGCACTGTCTGCACCTACTTGCCAAGCAACAGCCCAGATGAGGCACTGCTCCGGGGATGCGCGGGTGCCTGTCAGCCCACCTGCCCGTCCCGCCGCCTGTGCCAGGCAGCTGCCCCTCTCCCTCTCGCCCAAGGTGATCTCACGTGCTCGTGGTGGGGGCTGTCTGCCCCTGTTTCTCCTGTCCCTCCCGGTGCGTATCTGTCTGTCCCCTCTCTCAGCCCAGCGGCCTTGCTGCGCAGCCCTGTCTGTATTTCCCTCCGCCTCACAAGTGCACTGCCAGCCTCCCAGCGGCTCCGGCTCCCACTCCGTGTTCCCTTTGCTGAGGGACGTGAACACCACCGCTGCACCACTGTGCACCTGCGGGACCCCAGCATCCTGCGGCCCCTGCCTGTTCCCTCCACAGCCCCAGGTCACCGCAGAACTCTGCCCCTCCCCTGGCGGGCCCTGGGCCAGCTGAGTCCCTGTGAGAATGCCCACCTCACAGCAGACATGAAGGGCAAAAGCAAAGTGCCCCCGAGGTCCACGAGACGTCTGGATCCTGACAGCCTCAGAGTAGGCAGAGGTCTTCTTGGAGTGCTTAAAGCACTGACCATGAGACCTTTAAAAAGCCATAGCCTAGACTTCACAAAAATGCAAGACTCACCTCCCAGAGATGCTGGCAGAAAATAGCAGCATGTGTGTGTTTCTGACAAAGGTCTTGGATCTAAAAGCCTGTAACAGCCCCACAGCTCAGGAAGTGGTGCTGCCACTTTGGCCAGGAAGACACCGGGGCAAAAGCGTCGTGGAGAGGCTGCGGGCCGCCAGCTCGCCGGGGCCCGCACATCGCTGCCGACCAGGAGCGCTGGTCGTCCGGCAGGCTGGGCTGGCCCTCGGAGCACCCCAGCACCCGCATGGCACGCCGGTGCAGCCAGGCCTCCCAGCAGCCAGGGGGGTTCCCCAGCTGCACCCTACACCCTGACACACAGGCAATGGCCCGTGGCCTCCCAGCCTGTCCTCCTGCCGTGGCCGTTCGGAATCCCCCTCACCTCATGTGTCCACCGCCTGCAGGGGACCCAGAGCCCCCGCAAGAAGCTCCTGCCCACGGCCTGGGGTGGGGCATGAGCCCCGGATCCCGCCCTCCCCTCAGGGGAGGGCCACCCACTCCTGGTTGCCCACTGGCACCCGATGACAGGAGGGTGAACGACTTACAAAACTGTTACCGTTTCCTGCATGTGGTTCTGAGCTGGCCGAGGACCCTGCACATAACCACATGGGACCACTCAAGGCCTCTGAGAAGGGATGGCAGCTGCCCAGCAGACAGCCCTGGGCCACCATGGCCCCCCAGTGAGGCCCAGGGGTCAGCCTTTGCGTGGTCACTCAGGGACGTGTCTCAGGCTCCACTGGGCGTAGAGGACAGGGCAGGCTGGCACAGGCAGGGACAGATTCCCCAGACCCCACTGTCCGGGAGCCCTGTTCCCTCCCGCATGGCCGGGCCAAGGGCCATGAAGCCAAGCGAGGTGGCGTCAGTCAGGTTCCCAGACACCCCCACTTCTGGTGGCAAAGCCCCTCCCCAGTGAGGGGCTCGCTGCAGGACCCAGGGGCTTGTTGTTCATGCAGCTGCTCTGGACCTATACTGATCAACCACGACAGTGGCCACAGATGCATATGTGGAATCAAACAGCAAATCCGATCTCACACCTGTGGGTCAGGATCCGGGCGACCTCCAGATGGGGCTCAGAGGCCAGAGTCAGGGTGAGGCAGGCCCCCACTGGAGGCTCTGGGGAGAACCCGGCCCAGGTGCTCCCAGGGCCCAGGCCACCGCCTGCTGCCTGTACCCCAGCCTCCCACCTGCGCTTCTGGGAAGGGCCAGTGCAGGCCCGGCCCTGGGTGCGGGATCGCGCAGCAGGCCCACGCATGCGGCGGCTGGAGAGGGCCGGCCGGGCGGACTGTGCCGCGGACGGCGCGTCCCCGCTCAGCCCCCGTCGGTGGCTTGTCCCCCCAGGCAGTCCTCATAGTCAGTGGGAACCTGAGCTTCCTGAACTGGCTGACCATGGTGCCCAGCCTCGCCTGCTTCGATGATGCCACCGTGAGCTTCCTGTTTCCCTCTGGGCCTGGCGGCCTCAAGGACCAGGTCCTGAAGATGCAGGAGGAGGAAGCCCAGGGGGCCCAGCTGAGACACGGTGGGTGGACCCCCGAGGGCACAGACAGCCCTCTCCCCCGGACCCCCGGCTGCTCCCACCTCCCGAGGGCAGCAGCGCGACTCAGTTTCCACCTCCACCTGGGAAGGTGTCGCTGCCTCGGGGAGAAGGGAGCTGTGGACAGGGGCCCCTCTCCAGCTGCCAGCTGCCCGGCAGAGAGGCAGGCAGGGCGTGGGATGCAGGGGACTCACCACCGCCCCTCCCCAGGCTGCATGGCACGGCGCGCAGTCCACCTGGCACTGGGCGTCCTGGTCGCCTGGCTCAGCGTCCCCGTGGTGCTCAACCTGCTGAGCCCCCAGCAGGTCATGAACGTCTCCTTCAACCCCCTCAGGATCGTCAACACATACGGGGCCTTCGGGAGGTATGCTGCCCACTGGGAGGCAGGGTAGAGAGGCACCCCCTCACCCCAGGGCAGCCGCCCCGTCTGCTCGAGCGCAGCAGGGCGCTGAGGCTCGGCCGCTGTGGTGGGCGGAGCCCTGACTCGGCCCCCCTCAGCGTCACCAGGGAGCGTGTGGAGGTCATCCTTCAGGGCACGGCCAGCCCCAACGCCAGCGCGCCGGGCACCGTGTGGGAGGACTACGAGTTCAAGTGCAAGCCCGGCGACCCGTGGCGGAGGCCCTGCCTCATCTCCCCCTACCACCACCGCCTGGACTGGCTCATGTGGTCTGCGGCTCTCCAGGTGGGTCCTGGGTGCACGAAGGCTCCGGTCACCCCAGGGTCCCTGAGGCCTCAGTTGGGAGGCAGCTGACCCAGCCACACGGACGCCCCGTGCTGGGCCGCGCACCCTGGCGAGCAGGCATCAGACTGTGTGCGTCTGCACAGCAGGGTCCCCAGAGGCGGGGCACCCGCTGTGCTCAAGCCTGACCAGGGGAGGGGGGGAGGCTGGGAGCAGAGAGCATGCCCCCCACAGGCCCTAGGCGGCGCTGAGGGAGGGGCCCACAGTCCAGCCCTTCTCCCTCCCAGACCTACGAACATAACGAGTGGGTCATCCACCTGGCAGGCCGGCTCCTGGCCAACGATGCCCAGATTCTGTCCCTGTTGGCCCTCAACCCTTTTGAGGGCAGGGACCCCCCCAGGTGAGACCCCCTCCCAGAAAAGACCCCTGCCAACTGCAGCTTCCGCCGGCTCTCAGGGCTGCTCCCCCAGGTGCAGGAGTCTGCTGGGGGCTGTGCCGTGACCCCCTGAGAACATGCCAGGGTGCGAAGGCCCACGGGCCCTCAGGCCATGCCTTCCCCAGGCGCTGCTCACCTACTGATAGGAATTGGGCGGGGGCTCCTGGCGGGGGGCGGGGGTAGGCGTCCGGAGAGCCAGGCCTAGCCTTCAGTTCCATGGGCTCCGGAAGCCCCCCGGCAGAGCCCCCTGCCGCCCTCACCCAAGACCAGACGTGGTCCCTGCAGGCTCTCCCTTTCAGGGCCAGGGCCTGGTGTGAGGGGTTCCCCAGGGGCCCCACATGGGCTCCTCAGCCTCCCCAGGCAGCTGCTCCCTCCAAGCAGCCAGCACGGACCCGAACCCGCAGCAGCTGCGGCACGGCAGGCAGAGGGCTGGCCCCCGAGGGATGAGGTCCCCCACAGCTGCGCTCCCTGGTTGGGGGCTCGGGGCTGACGGCCGGCTGTCCACCACGCAGGTGGGTCCGAGGGGAACACTACAGGTACAAGTTCAGCCGGCCGGGGGGCAGGCATGCCGCCGAGGGTAAGTGGTGGATCCGGAAGAGGATCGGCCCCTACTTCCCACCACTCCGCCTCCGGGACCTGAAGCCCTACTTCCGGGCGCAGGAGTGGCATTACCCGGAGCCCGAGTAGAAACTGCCCAGGACCCCTGAAATAAAGCTGCTCTGAGCAAGGCCGGCCTCCTCCCCAGCCCCGCCCTGCGCCCTGCACCTGGAGAAGCCCACCCAAGCAGGGCCCCTGGGGCTGCACTGCGCCCCCCACCCCCGTTTCCCCAGCGGCCCCTGGCCCCGGTTTGGGCTGGGGCCACTGGCACCTGCGGAGCCAAGGTCGCGGGCTCCCTGCCTCTGCTCTCCACAGCCCCGTGTTGTGCCCCCTCCTGGGAAGGGCCTGGGTGGGATGAGGCCTCCCTGCCTTGGAACCTGCACACGCCCCCACACGCCCTGCTTTCCTCCCCAGGACCAGTGCCCAAGGTGTGGACAGAAGCCCTTTGTCCCTCCTTGTGAGGACCACCCCCACAGGGCCCTGAGTTTGTGACCATGTCCCCCAGTCTCACGCCGTGTGGGCGGGGAGGGGAGGTGGGCAAGCGACCACAGCGGTGACCTGGGGCCTGGTCACCACAGAATCTGCGGTGACCCTCTGCGTCCTGCTGCAGTGAGAACCAGGCTGTGGGCCAGAGCCTTCTGCCTCCTGTTCTGGGGGGGCAGTGCTCCCTTCTCCCCCAGCCTGGCAGGAGCAGCCCCCGAGCCCGATCGTCCAGGGCACCCGGCCACACTGTGGAGGGTCCCAGCGGGTATGAGGGGTTCAGGCAGGAGGCCAAGCTGAGGTGGCCACAGTGCCCTTCTGTGTAAAGCCCCCAGCCTGGGGGCCCACCGGCCCAGGTGCCAACAGGGACGCCGTGTTCCTGCCCACAAGGAAACAGGCAGCCTGTGTCTGTCGCAGGACAGACAGGGCCTCAGACAAGGAGCCCGGAGCCGGCAAGTCTGCCCGGCAGCCATGTGGAGCTGACCGCCTGCCCACCGTGGCTGGGCAGCCCCAGCTTGGGGGCTGTCCTGGGGACTCTGCTGATGGGCAGACGCCAGGATGGGCAGGGGGCCTACAGAGGCTCTGTGCCTCGGCTCGGGGTGGCGCTCCATACCCACTGCCCAGAACCACAGGCAGCCACTCCACCGGACCGTGTCAGGTGTGCCAGGAGCCAGGGTGGGACTGTCCACAGCCCTGCTCCGCACCCTGGGCTTGCCGCCTCCCAGGACCAGCACCCCAGACTGTGGGCGCCTCTCGGGTCCTTGCTTCAGCCATTCCCCCAAGTCTCCCAGGTCCCCCCAGACAGTCATAGGAGGCCATGCATGTGCCTATGGGCACAGCAGGACTGGAGCCAGTGGCAGAAGTGGCCCTCGGGGGCCCTACGCCCATACATCCTCAGGACAGACATCTGCCCAGCAGGCCATCACTGGGGACCCCAGGCCCAGGCTCTCAGGGTGCCGTGACTGGAGTGAGGCTCATGACCTCACCCTCCACCCCCAGAGCCTGCCCTGAGGCTGGCACCCTCTCATCCAGGAGTCTAGGCAGAAGCCCTTCTCCCCCCAGAACTCTCCCACAGCCCCTGCCTCCCTGAGTGTGACCATGGGGTCCCCGCCTGCCCCAGTGTCCTCTGCTCCCCCACCCGCACCCTCTGGCCGCCTACCCTGCCTACCCCAGACCCCCCAGCTGCCCACAATCGCTGTCCCCCAGTGTCAGGTGCACCCTGTGGGGTCTCAGGCAGGATGAATCACAGAGGGGTCCCGTAGGTGAGGGACCAAGCCCCCCACAGTAGGAAACAGGTACCATGCCAAATGGAACAGGCTCCACATGACACCCAAGTCTGTGTGAACTGAGCTTCTGCAGCCCAAGGGCATGTCTGAGGCCAGCAGGGGCTCCCAAATGCCAGGACCATTGCCCACTCACAGGGTGGGACCTGGCCCTGGGCAGGGACATCCCCAAAGGGAAGGACATATCATTCACTGAGGATTTTCGCTCAATGACACGACACATTTTCGGCACCTGCTGAGTCCAAGCACATGTGCCTCTCAGCCGCTCCAGGTGGAGGCCTTCTGGGAGTGTCCTCGCATCCTGGGGTGGTGCCCCTGTCCCCCAGGCAGGTTCTGGCAGCACAGAGCACCTCCAGCCTGCTGCTTGCAGGAGGGGCAGAAGCTCAGACCCCAACGGTGCCAAGTCAGGGACCATCACCATCATGAGTGGCCCCTGAGGATGAGGCTTGCTCATGGCCATGGCCCCCTTCTGCACCCCTGGTGCACCAGCTCGGCCACCCAGCCGACCCCCTGCCCCGCTCTCAGATGGATGGGCTTTTGTGGTCATTATCTCCCTTCCCAGGTTCCCATTCTTCTTGGGCTGTAAACTTCATTTCCACCCCCATCCTGACTGCTGGGAATGCGGCAAAGGCCCCGGCATCCTGTGGGCTCTGTGGGCACCGTGGGCCTCCTGGGACCCACACTCCAGAAGCGCTGACTTCCCCTTAACCCCTCAGAGAGGGGGTCAGTCTCCAGATGAATGGATGTGGGGGCTGTCCCCCATTTGTTCTGAGTTTTATCACATGTTTGCCACTACCAGCACCCCTCACCCCACAGCTCCAGCACCGCGGGGGCTGGCGATGCCCCTTTCGGAAGTGAACCCAAAGCAGCCACTTGGGTCCCCCTGTGCTGACAGGCTCGCCTGCTCAGCAGCACGATGCCCTCCCCGCGCGCCCCCTGGTGGCCCCCCTGCCCCATGTCCACACACTGTAAACTCGACGTGGGACCTTCTGCCCAGGCGTCCAGAGACGTCCCGCGAGGGGGCAGTCGCAGATCAGCAAGTCGGCCTCTCAACTCCTGAAGTAATTAATAAAATTGACAAACTTCTAGCTCAACTGACAGAGAAAAAAAATGTGCAAATAACTAAAATTTTTTAAAGGAGGGGCTGACTACCGACCTTCCCGGGACGAAAAGGATTATAAGAGTACTGGGAGCAGTTGTCCACTTGAACGTAAAAGACCAGGAAAGACGGACAAATTCTGAGGTATGTGAGCTCCAAAGAGTGACCCTGGAGGAAAAAAGAGCCTGAAAAGATCTGCAAGCAAAGAGACTGAATCAGACGTCAGAAACCTCCCAGCACAGAAAAATGCCAAGTCAGATGGCGCCGCTGCTGGATTCGACCAGAGATTTCAGGAATCAACCCTTGTCCCTCCCGGACTCTCCCAAAAAATCAGCAGAGGAGGGAACACATCCTCCTGGCAAGGCCAGCACTACCCTGACAATGACGCGCCCTCTGCGTGCAGGTGCAGGCGCCCCCAACAGCGTGCCAGCAAATCAGGAGGGCACGCCCTGGGGCAAGCGGGATCTGTCCCAGTGGCTCACACAGTGCACCACTTTAAGGGAACACGAGGGAACCAAACATGGTCGTCTCAGCTGATGCAGAGGGCATCTGCGAAAACCCAGCGCCCTGTCCTGATGGAAGCCACTCAGAAAGCAAGGATAACGGTACTTCCCAACATAATGAAAGACGTTTTTGAAAAACAGCCGACACCCTGCTGGACAGTGAAAGTGAAAACCCCGCAGGAGATCGGGACCCAGACAAGGATGCCCGTCCTCCCCAGGGCCAGCCGGCATCACCCCAGGTCTAGCCGGAGTACTTAGTCAAGAAAGACAAATAAAAGGCTGTGGACTCGGAGAGGAGAAAGTAAGACTTCTTTGTTCACAGACAAATGGTTCCGCACAGAAAAGCTCAGTGACCCACCGAACACTAGCAGAGCTGATGAACCAACTCAGTAAAGCTGCAGGACACAAGATCGACACACAGACACCCAGTATGTCTACACACCAGCAGGGAGGGAACAATCGCAGCTGCAACAGCCACCGAAAGAACAGCACACCGAGGAATGAATTTCACCGGGGAGGGAGAGACTTGTACCCCACAAAGGCTCCGATGCTGCTGAAGGGCACCAGGGTGCCCGGAGGGACAGAGAGGCACCTGCGTGAGCAGAGGACTGTCGTGAAGATGGCCGCACCGCCTGGGGCAGCCCACAGAGTGATGGCATTGCCGTCACAGTTCCTACAGCCTTTTTGCAGAAATGGAAAAGCCAGTCCTCGACTTCATATGGAATCGCAAGGGCCCCAGGTAAGAAAAACAATCCTGCAGAAGAAGGAAGTTGCAGGACTCACACTTACCACAGAGCAACAGCGATTGAACAGCCTGGCCCTGGCCTGGGGACAGACATGCAGACCATGCGGCAGAGTGAGGAGCCGAGAAGGACGTCCTTACATGTGTGGCCACGTGATTTCCAACAGGCGCGCCAGGGCCATTCAGTGGGGGAAGGACAGCCTCCTCCGGGAACGGTGCTGGAAACACCGCATCCGGACACGAGGGGATGACGGCGAGTCCTTGCGCTATATTCAAAAATTAACTCACAGCCGATGAAAGGCCTAAATGTGAGAGCTAAAAATTAAAACTCTTAGAAGAAAACACTGGTGAGTCTCCTTGACCTTGGATTTTGCACTGAATTCATCAACATGACCCCAAAAGAAGAGCAACAAAAGGAAAAAAACACAGATAAATTGGACTTCATTGAAATTTAAAACTATTGCACATCTAAGGATATTATCGAGAAAGTGAAAAGACAACCCACAAAATGGGAGAAAATATTTGAAAGTCACACCTCTGGTAAGAGTCCAGCATCCAGGATGCACAAAGAACTCTTGTAGCTGAGCAGCAAAAACACAGCCCCTTCAAACAGCCCTGGACACACATTTCTTCAAGGAAGGAAGGGAGGCACACGGACGGCCAGGTGCGCTAGGAGGGCCACACTGTCCGCAGGAATCAGAGACGTGCACGTGAGGACTACCGCGAGACCCACTTCACACCCACCAGAATGGCTTTAGTTTGTTTCTTTGTTCGCTTTTCTAGAAAACAACAAGTGTTAGCAAGGATGTGGGGAGATGGGAACCTTTGTGCAGCCGCCATGGAAACGGTCTGGCAGCTCCTCAGAAAGTTAAATTTGGGCCCGTCACCATATGACCCGGCGGTACCCTCCTGGGCATCCATCCGGAAGACCTGAAGCGGACTCACACAGACCTGTGCCCCGGTGGTGGGGCAGCAGGATTCACACCAGCCAGAAGGTGGAAGCCACCCAAGTGCCCACTGTCAGATGGACAGATCGACAAACGTGGTCCATCTAGACAATGGGACGTCACTCAGCCATGGAAGGAGTGAAGCCCTGACACGCCGCAACCTGGATGGACCTCCGGCCGTGACGTGCAGTGAACTAGCCGGACCCGGGGCCACCCACCGCGACTGTTCATGTGAAACAGCAGGCAAGTCGCAGAGTCGGGAAGGAGACTGGTGGCTGCCAGAGCTGGGGGAAGGGTGGGGGTGGCAACTGCTGATGGGCACAGGGCTCCTCTTGATGGAATGTTCTAGAACTAGATGAAGGTGGTGGTCACACATCACTGTGACATACTAAAGGCCACTGGTGGTTCCTTTCCAAAATGGCTAATTTTATAGTACGCCGATCGCACCTCAATTTTTTAAAATAAGACAGAACCGAAACAGAAAGCCGCCGAAAAGCCTGAGGCCCCTGGACCCCCTGCCCCAGGGCTGGGCCTTGCGTGCCGAGGCCTGGCGGGGACACAGGGTGGGCCGCACAGGTGGAGCCCTTCATCCCATTTCGTAAGTGCACAGGCTGGATTCCCAGAGCCAGCACATGACCGACGTGGGCATGTGAACCGGTGACCCAGGAAAGGCACCGATCAGCCGAGGGAACTGCGGGCAGGCGGGGCGGCCCAGCCGCGCGAGGCTGGGACCCTCAAGCCATTTGCCACTGCAGGGCTTTCTGCTGAGGCTGACCTGGGGTCGCCTCCAGGCTCGGCAAGGCCTCGAGGCCCAGCAGGCGTGCCGGCCCACCTCTCTGCAGGTGTGCACCACCTTGCTGCACCGGGACTGGCCTGGCTGGGTGGCAGCAGCCAGTGCCCTGCTCCGGGCGGGCAGCCTGCGGCTCAGGGGTCTGTACCTGCCCAGGTGGCCCCGAACAGTCTGAACTGTGACACTGTTACAGCTTCAGAGTCAGTCCCGGTGCCCAGTGGTCTCAGCCACCACTTCTCAAGACTGCCTCGACTATCATCAGCCTATTGCTCAAAACAACGGAAGTTCCTTATTAATTCTAATAGTCTGTGCGCAGCTAGCAGACGGTGGTGTTTCTTCCCTCCCCACCCCATGCTTTTTTCTTGTCTTGTGCTGGCAGCCAGGCTGAGGCCCACTGTCTCGTGGTCTCTCATTTCCTAACCGAGAAGTTGTCCGTTTTAAAATATCAACCACAGTGGGCTGGTCCACTACCTTCTGGGCTGCAACCTCATAGAAATGCTGGAAAAAATATAAACCAACTTTGTATCTGAACTCACAGAAAAGGAAGGGATAGTCGGGTGCAAGGAAAGCCAGGAAGTGCACCCTGGGCTGCAGGGAGAGGCACCTTGTCCTGACGACACGGCGACTCCCAGCAGGGACCTTTGCATAGAGGCAGCACGCTTCAGGTCCGAACATCTGAGAACAAAATCAATATAAACTTGATCGGGCTCTTTGAAAATATCAGTAAAATGGATAAACCTCTAGTTACAGTGATGAAGAAAAAAAGGAGAGAAAACTCATATTACCAACATCAAGAAGGAAAAAGGGAACATCACCACAGATGCTATAGACACTGAAAGGATATTCAGAGTACAGCTGACCCTTGAAGAGGCAGGGTGCAGGGACCCAGCACCCCACACAGATGAAAATCCATGTGTATTTTTTATTTCTTACATTTATAGATAGATAGATAGATAGATAGATAGATAGATAGATAGATAGATAGATAGATAGATAGATAGAGATAGATAGATAGGTTTTTTATAATAGATATGTGTATATCTTAATTTCCCAAAAACCCAACTATGGTTGACTGGAAGCCTTGCTGATAACATAAATAGTCGATCAGCACATGTTTTGTATGTTTTCCGTATTCTGTAATGTATCCTTACAATAAAGTAAGCCAGAGAAGAGAAAGTGTTTTTTTTTTCAAATTACTGCAAATATCGAAGATTTTCCAATATATACATTGAAAAAAATCCATGTATAAGTGGACCCACATAGTTCAAACCCACATTGTTCAAAGGTCAGCTGTATTATGTACTTTATTCTGTTAGACTTGACACCTTAGAAGAAATGAAACAATTCCATCTAGTATCCACAAAATACTGAAGCTGACTCACAAAGAAAGAGAAATCCCAAATAGCCACATAACAAAAAAAACGGAATTCATAATTCACAGCCTCTGGCAAAGAACACTTCAGGCGTTCTCCCCCACATTTATTAAAGAAAGGGTCCTGCACAAACCCAGGACCAGAGGAGGGAGGCACCCCAGAAGGTGCGACCCTCTGGGAAACAGTCCGGCATTTCTGGGAACATTAAGATGTCCCGCCATGTGGTCCAGCCATTCTCCCCTGAGTACCTGCCCAAGAGAAATGGAAGCAGGCTGGTAAGCAGTGTTTCAGCAGACTTACTCCTAATAGCCAAGAAACTGGGGCCAGCCCCGTCTGTCCACAGAGTGCAGGAACCCACTGTGCTGCAGCCACAAAATGAGTACTTCTTAGCAATAAACAGGTCAAATCATTGATACACAGCAACTTGTTTGAACCTCAAAAACATGCTGAGCTAATGAATCCAGAGATGGAAGGAAACACATGCAGAACCTTGGGGAGGGACAGTGAGCCGCAGTACAGAAGACAGGTAGCAGTTACCTGAGGCCAGGTGGCAGAGGGACAGCTGACTGGTGAACGGAGCAGGGACGTTCAGGAGGACGGTCTGCACCATGGCCACATAGGCGCCTTGGCGTGCACGCCTGTCCGAGACCATCAAGTCGTACACTTAAAATTAATGGGCATTTTATTTTATGTGAATCACAACAGACTGAATAAAGCCCTGGCTTGTAATGTCTCCTGATTTCCATGATGTGAGTACTCCCAGTGCATCTGATTCCGAGCTACCAGCGTGTCATCACTCAGCACAGGGCTGGGGGGCCCACACGCACGGTCGGACCTTGTGTGGCGGTACAAGCTCTGCACCCACCGCGTCTCCCCAAGTGGATTTTGAAGACAAACGGAACTCTTGGACATCCCTACACCAGGCTAAAATCAACGCCAAGCATCCACATGGTGAAGAACAACTGAAGTGCCGGGAGCATCTGCGGAAGCTGGAGCTGCGCACACCCGGGACCCACATGGCAGCTGCGCAGCAAAGGGCAGGGCAGCACCCTCCATGGACTGGGCTGCAGACTCCCAGCCACCCGCCAGGAGGACAGGCCTGTGAGGGGCAGCGTGGGGCAGGCGGAGGGTGGGGACATAGTGTCCGCACACCACGTGGGGCCGTGCCGGGGTCACAGTGGGCCCCCGGAGCTCTGGCCGAATTTTAGTTCCTGACCTGCCGGCAGCTACCCTGACATTCAGTTTGGAACGTTTTTGAGCTCGCGCTTACATTCTGTGGACTTTCTTGTATATGTTCCCAATTCAGAATGAAAACATCGTAACAGAAAAACCTGTCTCCATCGTCAGCACCAGATCCTCTGTTCCGCACATGTGTAAAGCGCACTGGGCTGGGTTACAGACATGTAAGGTCTGAGCCAGAGATCAATCTGTCCCGTCCCCCGGGGCACCTCATGTGTTTATTCCTCCACTGACTTTCCCTTGCTTGTCGCCGCCCCTCTGCCCCCGCCCCGCCCCACGGTGGCAGTGAGGTCCACGTCAGAGCCCAGGGGGTCACAAGCAAGTTTTACAGAGGACTGGTGGGCGCCCCCTTCCGGGCCCCTGTGCACCTGCAGGGACACCTTGTTCTGAGGCCAAAAGCTGTGCCAACATCAACCAGATGCCTCCTGTCCAGGGAGCCAGCGCTGTCTGTCCTCAGGGAGGGTCGTGTGCAAGCCACCACCTCCCTGGCGGGCTCTTGGTGCACCTGGGCCGAGGGCGCGGGCCCAGCCCGCAGCTGGGCCTTTATGTGGTAGGCACTCATTTGCATCTCAATAGCCGCCTGCCTTATTTAAGGGGCAAGCTGCCTGAGCCACTTGGAAAAGGGAAAAGCACAGGCCT